AGGAAAGTCGAACTCTCGAGTGGAGCGTCTGCGCACGGTGCCGAAAATTTGAGGGCTCGCAGAGACCCCTCCTCGCGTCTTTCGCAAAAACCTGAAGCTCTCGCATGGAGCGTCCTCATCAAACGTTGGCTCACACATCCACTTCCCAGTGGAGCCTCCTCACATTTTGACCGAGGAGGTTGACGATGCTGCAGTTCGTACATCTGCAAGCTCTTGAAACTTCAGAGCTGGTTTACAGCACTTGCAAGCTCTAAAGAATTTCAAGCTGTAACCTACAGTATCTGCAAGCTGTAAAGAGAGCTCCACATGTTCTAATTTACAGTGTTTGCATGCTCTGGATGAGATCTTGGTGCAGAAATTTACAGTGTCTGCATGCTCTGGATGGGCTCCAAATACTGTAGCTTGCAACCTAACATGCGGCACGTCGCAATATGTGCAGCCTCTACGCAACCCCGAATGCTGCAATTTTTTCAGTATCCGCAGCCTCTACGCAACCCGAAACGCTACGATTTGTTGCGTTTCGGCTCGTTTCAGACCGCACGATTGAGCTCTCGTCTGAGATTTCCTAAAGAACAAGAAAACAAAAAAAGAGAACATATCCTATATGAATTCGGCGTCCAGGTTCGAATCACTTGACCCAGTCTTTCAGGAAGATTTGCCTCGACCCCAAAGGAGTGTAAGGTTTAGGTTTTACTGGAGTCAAATCTCCATGTCAAGCAGGACATGATGTGCTGTACCATGCCGTGTCACCCTGTATTTCATGTGCGTCGAAGGACTGTCGATCCGCTGGCTGCTGCGCAGAAGCCGGTTGGACGTGTTACGAACCATGCCGAGCGGTTAGGCATTTAGGGTTTAGGGGTTCTAGAGTTCGGAGTTTGAACCATGCCGAGCGGTTACGGGTTTAGGGTTTAGGGGTTCTAAAGTTCGGAGTTTGCGAAGTCAACAACAGCCATCCACGTTATGGAGAAGCAAATGGACTCGACAAGAAAATGGGCATTGGTATGGCAAGTGGGTATATGTCAGGATTAGAGCTGTATGAGCTGTAGTCTAAACTCTGGAAATACGATTACATTGGGGATTATATAAGTAGAGTATTATAAGGGTTTCGACGGGGCACACTAGGAGTTTAGACTATAGCTCATATGAAGTAGGGTTTTATGTATGGCTTTATGTGAAAGTATGTAGACTATAGGGTTTCTTTGGAATATCGGTGCGTGTGAATACTTGGTGTCCATTTTGGGGGACCGTTTAAAAAACTAAGTCCTACCGTGTGTAGGGTTTGAGGTCTTAGGAACTGAGGTTTAGGCGTTTGGCTGCGAGCAAATCCAAGTACCAAACAATTGTTCGTGAAAATCATGAAATAATTGGACAGCCAGGAACCCTAAACCCTACTCCTTAAACCACGTGGATGGTCTCTGAAGGTTTGCATTTGGAGTGCGGGATTGAGGGTTTTGGGCTTACCATAAACCCTGTAAAGCATGACCTTAAACGCAGAAGGCCAAAACATCCTGAATTCAATTGGTCGTCCGGAATTTCTAGATATTACATCGAGTTTAGGTTTGGGGGTTTGTTGTTTTGGGTTTGGGGTTGTTTAAGGGAAAACCTGAGGAAATTTCAGGGGAGCACGAGATATGATCGGGAGGATTGGGGCCGACGAGATACGCAAGGCTTCTGAACCAACCCTTTGAAGGATCTTGTACGCGAGATGGTTTAGGGTTTAGGGAAAAGATTTAGGGCTTAAGAGTTCACGAAGTTTGAAGCAACTGCCTTTGAGACAAAAACATCGCTATTGGTATGCTTAGCATCTACGGCTTGGTTGCGCCACTACACTGTAAGGTGGCATTTCCTTGAAGCAGGGGCAGCTTTAGAACTCCATGCTCATACTTTTACAAAAGGTACATATTGCCGATCGGTAGCTGACCGGCTGAGAACCTCGAAGCTTTGCACTCTGGAATTTGTTAAGGGGTGTTTGCTACCCCCAGCGCACCGGGTTCAGGACATATGATCATAAGCGGGTCCCAATCTTGGGGGGGTTACCAAGCATCTTTATTTTTTCTTACCTATCATAATCTTTGCGTAGTCTCTCATGATCTATACTTAATCCTCCCCAGCACCTAAAATGCCAAAGCTATTCCGTTTGATGTAACCAAAGGCCTCTTATCTGAGTTATGGTGTAAGAGGGAAGGCCACAGAAAGCGCGGAGGTACCCCAAAAAATTCGGACAGGGCGTCGGGCATTTTCTATCACATTATCTGAGGATTGTTAAGCCATAGCATTGGTAGTGATCCAGGCTCCCGCATTAGCGAATGTGCAACTTAGTTGGTTCGATTTAATTTGTTGGAGGGGGTCTCAGTGGATGCTCAGTAAGGTAGAAACAGGGATAGATAAGGCTCCATTTTTTGCTTCATGAAGAGATTACTGCATGTTGCATGGAACCTACCGAAATTGCAAGTCACTGGGGCAACAGCCCCATTGTGCATGCAGTTTTCACGAATGCATGACTGGGTAGTTGTTCGGCACACTTTGCTGAAAAAAATCCAATCAGGAACATAAGAATCGATTTTCCATTATTACCCCACTGGCCCCCGCAGTGCCTAGGACTTCCTTTAGGCTCCAAGAATTTGCTATGTGGATACCTGGACTCAGCGGGCTTATCACAGGGTTCTGTCAGGACAGTTGCTGCATGGGCCCTGGGCAATGAACCAGGATGTAGCTGTTTGTGTTAGAGTCGTGTTTGCATTCTGAAGATTTGTTTGCACAACAGCCTCGATACAGTGACCCAGAAAATTCGAGAGGAACGACAAGGAACCTGGTTGGCTGTTTTACAGCGGTTTTGAGAGGCAAGACCTCGCGCTTTGTTTTAAGATGTGCTTGACCATGATTTGGGTTTAAACGTTCAGGGTTTTAGCCTTCCTTTTTTTGTTCTTCAGACCTTTACAACGTGAGCGGCCCATCTTTTCATGTACTGGACAAAGCATCTGCGCAGTTAGGATCAATTTTGCGGACAGTGTCAGCGCCCAGCCATCCGTTTATTGTCACTACCCATTCAAGGTTCGAAAGCTGGACTTCCCGCATGTCGCTTTGGAAAACCTCCAGTCCTTGCGATAAAACAAGGCATTGCCATTGACGCTAAAGCAAGCAAACTTCTATGTCAGCAACATACTGCCGCGCCTCTTGAAAGTTTCAGCACGCCCCATATCGGATGCAAACTTTTCTGCGCACAAACTAAAGCCAATGCTTCATTCCTAGGTCGACAGCTCGAGTTTGCTGTTTTGTTGTTCGAGAAGCACGACTGCCAAGGTCAGTCATTAATTACCTTGGTAAAACAGATCTGCTTAGTTACGTGAATGAACAGAATTTCTGTATTATGGTTCACTGGTGTAAACTGGGGCGCTGGACAATGTTTTCATGAGGGGTAAGAGCTATCCTTGGGGCATCGAACGCCGAAGCATGTATTACCTCCACCCAAACATCCGATGATGTGTGCTGGATGAGCCTACGTGCCTTGAGCGGCTCAAGTACGTAAATGCGTGTGTTGTTGATCAAGTGGCTCTTGCGGAGACTCCTCCCAAAGAGACAGAGAAGGAGAGAGAGAGAGAGAGAGACAGATATATATATATATATACATATACATATATAGATATATACATATATGTTTACTGGTATCAGCTCGATAGGTGCAAGTAAATACTTCTGTAGATTCATCTTTTGCAGAAAATGTATCAAGATATACGAACTTGGAGAATCTTTTACATGCTTAGGCGAAGTTTTGTTCAAGTCATGTTAATCTTAAATAGGTTTTGCACTGAACAGCCTGTTTGTTTACTTAGGGATATTTAGGCTTTGGATTTGATGATCTAGCGGCAAGGGTTTGAACATGTCCATGACATGAAAAATCTTCGGCTTGGTCTAGACATGCCGCGGGCCTTGAGCATATTTTTTTTGGAAAGTCAAAACCTAGTGTGTGATAACAAGGCCATAGTGGGCAGTTTCCATGGCTTTGGGTTGGCGGCAAAGGTCGCTACATGAGTCGCGCTGGCGCGCGTGCGCTCTTTTCGAGAGTTCGTGTCGCTTTGGGCGTGTGTAATGTTTTGTCGCCAAAGCTACGTCAAGTTTCTTTCCATTCGCATGCTGAATTAATTTCGGATGCCGGCGATACTTGAGAAGCCTGGTGAAAATTCTGTTCTCCTAGTGTGATGAGTGTCTTCCTACATGTGCTTGGTTGAAATGTAGTTGTGCACATGTGCTTTTTTCATACCTCCCCATCATTTGTTGAAACATAAATTTGCATGTTTTCTTCTTGTCCTTTCTTGTATCTTCTCACATCTTCTCATGCCTTCCTTTCCTCTGTCATCCTTGCCCGGTTCCTATGATGAAAAGTCACAGTTGTGATTCGCAGCTCGTGAGGTACATTTTCGTCTGAAGACCCTTCGTAGACAGCTCTTTGCCAAGCAACGAGTGACCAATGGAGGCTCACGTTGGGGTAACGTACTGGGTATTCAGCGCAGCAGCGTTGCTGATTGTGTTGTGAATATCGAAATCGCAAATGCATCTCACATGACACAACGACGCAATGCAATGGCTCGTAGCCAAATCCTGACAGCTTCCGCAATTCGTTTCAAAACACATCGTGATTTTCAACCACCACAGATCCTCATATTCAAAAGCTGAACACATCGGCGTTATTCAAGAAAAGTTCAAGAGGGCTTAGCACAACATGCAACAACTTTGTTACGTTATACTTCAATGCGATTAAGTTGTTCCCAACTCCGCGACGTTTAGGCGCTAAGTAGGTATGAACAGGCATCTTTTTGAAAGGAGAATCCCGATCTCCGTGGTGCAGGAGGTGAGCGTTTGAAACATGAATTTCCAACTTGCAACCATTGCTTTGATTGCAATACCCAAACAGCATATGAGTGCAACCCAACCCTAAAAAGTGAGCTGGGCAGCTGAGGAAAAGAACGAGTATTGGGCTTCTTGCCGTCAGAGTTGTGAGCCAGGTGCCATCGATCCCAACGACGCGCCAGAGTACCAAACGCCATGGACTTGCAGCATCATCGGTGGTTCCGGCCCATCTCCCTCGCCGCAGCCGTCGCCTTCGCCAGCGCCGGTACCGACGCCAAGCCCACCGAACCCTGCGCCAGGCTTGGCGTTCACTACAGGCACTGCCGGCACGGGAAAAGCCAGACTCTTTGAGTTCGTAAATGCGTTGACCGACCAGCCAGTTTCGGGGTCCATGGCCAGAGCAGTGCACTCTTCTGGTGGGGCCGCTGGAGGTGTGGTGAGTGAGAGCCAGGGGTATGGGCTGCTTCTGACCGGTGCGATCCTGGCCTCCCTGCAGCCGACTGATGCCGACTACCAGCGAATCACGACTCTCACCCACGAGATGTTCTTGGGCTGGCGTCGCATGTGCGAGCTTTCAGCATCCAGCGGCAGCTGCCAAGATGATGAGGGCTTCCAGTGTGGAGGTGGCAAGTATCCCTGCTTGGCGCATTGGAAGTTCGATGACGACCTCACGAACATCATCGGGAA